TTCACCTGTGTGCGTCCTGGGGGCAGGGGTCACATTTTGGGGACCCTCGACTCACCTGTGCGTGTCACTGAGGACCTTGGGCCACAATTTGGGGACCCCGACTCACCTGTGCATGTCCTCGGGGACAGGGCTCACATTTTGGGGATGTCCATGAGTCCCCACCTCACCTGCATGTGTCCCCAGGATCTCTGGGTCACATTTTGGTGACCCCGACTCACCTGTGCATGTCCCCAGGGGCTGTGGGTCACATTTTGGTGACCCCGACTCACCTGTGCGTGTCCCCAGGGACTGTGAGTCACATTTGGTGACCCCGACTCACCTGTGCGTGTCCCCAGGAGCTGTGGGTCACATTTTGGGGACCCCAACTAACCTGTGTGTGTCCCTGGGAGCTGTGGGTCACATTTTGGTGACCCCGACTCACCTGTGCGTGTCCCCAGGAGCTGTGGGTCACATTTTGGGGACCCCGACTCACCTGTGCATGTCCCCAGGGACTCTAGGTCACATTTTGGGGATGTCCACGTGTCCCCACCTCACCTCTGTGTGTCCCTGGGAGCTGTGGGTCACATTTTGGGGACCCCAACTCACCTGTGCGTGTCCCCAGGGGCTGTGGGTCACATTTTGGGGACCCCAACTCACCTGTGCATGTCCCCAGGATCTGTGGGTCACATTTTGGTGACCCCGACTCACCTGTGCGTGTCCCCAGGGGCGTTCCAGGTGACACCTCAGGCCAGCAGCATTGGGGGTCACTCCGCGGTGCAGGGCACCCCCAAACCCCCTCCCCACAGCCTCACCTGTGTCCCCCCCCAACCCCCCCAGGTGGTTTACAAGAACAACGACTTCAAGCTGGAGCTGTCGCGGCTGGCGCAGGAGGGCGACGCGCGGGTGACGCTGCACGGGGCGCTGCTCTTCCACTGCGACCCCCCCCCAGCGCTGGACCCCGTCACCTTCGCCACCCCCCAGGCTCACCTGGCGCTGCCCACCTGGCGCCCGGCCCGCGCCGGCTCCGTCTCCTTCGACTTCCGCACCACGGAGCCCAACGGGGTGCTGCTCTTCGGGCAGGGCCCCCCCCGCGACCCCCCGGCCGCGCCCCGCGGGCCACCCCCGCCGCCCCCCGACTTCCTGGCGCTGGAGCTGCTGGACGGGCACCTGTACCTGCTGCTGGGCATGGGCGCGGCCGGGCTGCGGCTCCGCGCCAGCGCCCGCAAGGTCACGGACGGCGAGTGGTGCCACGTGGACGTGCAGCGCGATGGGCGCAAAGGTGGGCGGGCCGGGCGGGCAGGTGTGCAAAGAGGGGTGGGCAGGTGTGCAAAGAGGGGTGGGTAGGTGTGCAAAGAGGGGTGGGCAGGTGTGTAGGTGTGCAAAGAGGGGCAGGCAGGTGTGCAAAGGGTGTGCAGGTGTGCA